TCTGTGCCATTGATGGTGATAAGCAAGATCTCCATACTCCAAGTCAAGATCATTCAATAATTCCTTAAACTGACAGCTGTTAAACTGCTTTTAACAAAAATGTGTGTATGACTCTACTGTTGACATCACATTGTTGAACTGCAATGATTGTGCACAAAGACTTTCTTAGTATATGATGAAATGACATATTATTAAGTTATTTGGATTAAGACTGAAATAAGGGCTGGGAATGTGGCTTAGTAGTAGAGTACTGTCTACCATGAATGAAGCCCTGGGTTTGATTCTTCTGTACCACATAAATAGAAAAAGCCAGACGTGGCACCGTGGCTCAATTAGTAGAGTGCTAGCCTTGAGCAAAAAGAAGTTCAAGGACAGTGCCCAGGCAATGAGTTCAAGACTCAGGACTGGCAAAAAAAACCCAAAAAACTGAAATAAACCAGGAACTGATGGCTCAGGACTATAATCTCAGGAACCTAAGATCTACAGATCACAGCTCAAAGCCAGTCCAGGGAATCAAAAAAAATTTTTTTTGGTCGGTCTTGGGGCTTGAACTCTGGGCCTGGGTGCTGTCCCTGCACTCTTCAGCTCAAGGCAAGTGCTACTGCTTGAGCCACAGCACCACTTCCGATTTTCTCGTGGTTAATTGGAGATAAGAGTCTCACTACTCTCCTGCCAGGCTGACTTTGAACTGTGATCCTCAGATCTCTGTCTCCTGAGTAGCTAGGATTACAGGCGTGAGCCACCTAAGCTAAGAGTATCAATTTTAAGTAAAATAAGCACATGAGAACATGAGGCCCTCAGTACAAGCTCTAATACTGGCAAACAAAACAAAACACTGAAATTATTGTGTGTGTGTTGGTCCTGGGCTTGAATTCAGAGCTTCAGCATTTTCCCTGAGCTTCTTTTGCTCAAGGCTATCATTCTTCCAATTGAGCTCCACTTCTAGCTATTTTAGTAGTTTATTGGGGCTAATAGTCTCATGGATTTTCCTGCCAGCGCTGGCTTTGAACTACAATCTTCAGATCTCATCCTCCTAAGTAGCTAAGATTATAGATGTGAGCTACGGGTGTCCAATTAACTTTTTATTTTTTTATTTTTATTTTTTTGGTCCGGTTGTGGGGCCTTAACTCTGGGCCTGGACGCTATCCCTCAGCTCTTCAGCTCAAGGCTAGCGCTCTACCACTTGAGCCACAGCACCACTTCCGGCTTTTTTCTTTTTGCTTATGTGGTGCTGAGGAATCGAACCCAGGGCCTCATGCATGCAAGGCAAGCGCTCTACCACTGAGCCACCTTCCCAGCCCCCAGTTAACTTTTTAAATACTTGCTCAAGATTTTAATTGGTAAAAACAAGTCTCTTAAACAAGTCCTCACCTCTTGTAGTGCCATGCATAGCTCCTAATGACAGTAGTTCTTGCTTGTCATACTGTAGTTATCCCACACACAAAGCCAGCTGTGCAGGTGTTAAGTGCATGTCTCATTACAAGCCAGAGAGAAACCTCCTGCAGAATCCTTTAAGGTCTTTTTTTTTTTTTTTTTGGTTGGTAGTAGGGCCTGAATTCTGGGTCTGGGCACTGTCCCTCATCTCTTCAGCTCAAGGCTAGTGCTCTACCACTTGAGCCACAGTGCCACGTCTGGCTTTTTCTGCTTATGTGGTGCTGAGGAATCGAACCCAGGGCCTCATGCATGCGAGGCAAGCGCTCTACCATTGAGCCACCTTCCCAGCCCCCCTTCAATGTCTTAAAATATCTTGTGCTAAGTCAGGAATCTGATGTGCAGTGGTGAGATGGGTCAAACTAACACTCTGTGTGTGTGTGTGTGTGTGTGTGTGTGTGTATATGTGTGTGCGCACGCGCGCATGCATGCATGCATGCGCATCCCCCTCCCCCCAGGCCTAGGTGCTGTCCCTTTTTTCTTTTTTTTGGTGATGGGTCTTGAACTCTGGGCCTGGGCACTGTCCCTCAGCTCTTCAGCTCAAAGCTAGCACTCTACCACTTGAGCCACAGCACCACTTCTGGTTTTCTGGTGGTTTATTGGAGATGAGAGTCTCACAGATTTTCCTGCCTGGGCTAGCTTTGAACTGTGATCCTCAGATTTCAGCCTCCTGAATAGCTAGGATTACAGGCATAAGTCACAGGTGCCCAGGTTCTTTAAGGATTCTTGATCTTAGATATACAGACAAATGTTGGTTTGGAGTTATCTATATTGACAGGGAAATCAACAACATCGTTGATCTTGGAGGCAAGATCATCAACCTGAAGAGGAGACATTTCCTTGCACCTTCTCTCATCATGGATCTGTAGTTTTGCCACAGTGTGTTAACATTCTCACATGTACACTCTCAGCCTATCTGGCACTGACTAGCTTGAGTCACCACAATACAGGTGGACTAGCTACGGGGAGCTAATGGCAAGTACACTTGAGCAGCCTGTTGTGTACTTGTCTCTCCTATGGTGGACATTCCTTGATTGTCCTTCCAAATCCTTGGGATTCACTTAATATAACTTTATGTTGCTATGAATAAAGTTTCTGGATTGACTGAACTTTGAAACCTTCCTACAGTTGCCTTGGCCAGGCCAGACCAAATGCCTTCTTAGGCCTTCCATGGCCTGCAGCTTGGACATTTCCCACCTTAGCTGCAACTGAATCTTTTCCCCAACAGGTGCTATCATTCACCAGTCTTGGGGTTCAGGATGGTGACAGAAGAAAAAGTCCTGGCTTCTGTTCCTTGTATTTGGGAAGACGCTTCCAGTCTGTTTTCTGGGAGGGAGTAAAGCACTCGGGCTCACATTGCTCTATTACCAGTGGATTAGGAAGGACACATAAGACCAGTCAGATAAAGAGGTATACCAGGTGAGGTGTATGGGAAGGATTTCTGGCACAAGAAAATCTGTAGAATGGGGTGAGCCCCTCTCCTGGGGCAGGGGCACAGAAGCCCTGTTGAGAGATTTTATGGAAGTTCCATGATGAAGACATGAAGAAATAATTGACCAGCAGTGACTGAACTCCATTTCATTCCCTCTCCTCCCTCAATGTCCCAAGCCTTTCCTCACGTGGTTGGTTCCTCTGGCAACCAGTCCCCATCCTGAAGCTGATGGGCAGCTTTCAGCCACCAGCCATCTTGTTTTTCTTTTTGCCAGTGCTGGGACTTGAACTCTGAGCCTGGGCGCTGTTCTTGATCTCCTTTTGCTCAAGGATAGTGTTCTACCACCTGAGTCACAGCTCCTCTTCCAGCTCTTTCTGTGATTAATTAAAGATAAGAGTCTCACAGACTTTCCTGCCTGGACAGGCTTGGAACCTCAGTCCTTAGATCTCAGCCTCCTGAGTAGCTAGGATTACAGGTATGAGCCACTGAAACTTGGCCAAAAAGACATCTTTTTTTTTTTTTTTTTTTGCTGGTCGTAGGGCTTGAACTCAGGGTCTAGGTGCTGTCTCTGAGCCTCTTTGTGCTCAAGGCTAGCCATCTACCATTTGAGTCACAGTGCCACTTCCAGTTTTGAGTGGTTAATTGGAGATAAGAGTCTCATGGGCGAGGGGGGGAAGGATTTGGTGGGGGGGAGGGGGGAGGCTGGGAAGGGAGGTGAAGGGTAAACAAAGGAGGAGGCTGCAATGCTTGGTAAGAAATGTATGCATAATCCTGCCCATGTAATTATAACCCCTCTGTACAGTATGTTCTCAAATAAAATAAAATAAAATTAAAAAAAAAAAAAAGAGTCTCATGGGGATTTTTTTCTGCCTGGACTGGCTTTGAACCAATGATCCTCAGATCTCAGCCTCCTGAGTACCTAGGATTACAGGTGGGAACCACCAGCACCTGGCTTAAGCCTGCCCTTTTTTTGCTCAAGGCTAGTGCTCTACCACTAGAGCCACAGCACCACTTCCAGCCTTTTCTGTTTATGTGGTACTGAGGAATTGAATCCAGGGTTTCATGCATGCTGGCAAGTACTCCACCACTAAGCCACATTCCTAGCCCCAAAATGACATTTTAAAGCTGGGCACTGGTGGCTTATTCCTGAAATTCTAACTACTCAGGAGCCTGAGATCTGAGGATTTGAGTTCAAACCAGGCTGGACAGACAAATCTGAGACTCTTCTCCAATTATCAGCAAAAAGCCAGAAGTGGAGGCATGGCTCCACATGGAGCCAGACTTGAGTGAAAAAGCCAAGTAAGAGGACAGGGCTTTAAGCTTAAACCCAGTACTAGTACAAAAACAACCAATAAACATCACTCCAAAATTCCAAGGTCTTAGCAGCTGTTGTGTCAAGAACTAGAGACAGAGATCAAACATATTTCTTACTGTGTCAGTGTACAGGTACAGAGACAAGGTGATAAAACTTTGCCAATATGTTAAATCTCTCCTGAGCCCTTTGCCAGCTCTTCCTTTTTCACTCCCTGAAGAGGCCCCCATTCTCCTGCATTTGAACCACATAATTTCAGTACTAGGAAGAGAGTAGAACAGCTAAGAACACAAGGGCTCCAGGCCTCAGGGATTCCACCTGGAACGAAGGTACTACAACATGAGCATGACAGTCACTGTGTCTGACACAAAGGAGGTTTAGTAAATGGTGGCAAGTATTACTGTTAGAGCCTTCACACCAATACTCTCAGATGGGCTGAGTCCATGTTAGGTAAGGGAGAAGAGACCTTATCTAAGCTCACAGGGGAGACATATACCCTCCTTGCCCCATGAGAAACGAAGACAAATAAAAGACTTTCTGCTTCAAAGTGATTTCCTGTCAAGGGAGAATATTTGTTTGCCTGTTTCTGGAAACATCCAAAGAGCCTTATGAATCCAAAGGTCTGCCTGGAAACAAGTGATGAGATTCCTGGTCAGCCAATGAGATTGTGCTGGCCTTTCCACCTGCCTGGGGAGCTCCCCTGCCCCTTCCTCCCCCCAGATAAGAGGCAACTTTGCTTGAGTGGGGTATTTCCAACTTGGTGGCTTTCACTTCCACATCTACCAGGTAGGTGGAGTGTCCTCCTGTGGACCAATCAGATTCCTCCTCAGCACCAACTTTAAGAAGTGAGCAGAGGCTCGGGTCCCAGACTACTTGGTGGTGGAGGCAGCAGCAGTAGCAGCAGCAGCAGCAGCAAAGACCGTGGGGAAGACCAGAGGCCAGAGCCATGGAAGACCAGAATGATTTAATCTCTAACCACGAGCAACTGCCCATTTTGGGTCAGCGCCCTGGAACCCAGGAGAGGTATGTGTGAACACCAGAAGAGGGCAAATTCTAGATAATTCAGACTTGCAGGTATCCAGGAACACTGGTCTGAACCACATGAAGGTGGCCTTGACTCTTTGGTGCCAACACTGACTTTCTGAGTGATTTTGAGCCAGTTTCTGTCCCCTCTGGTTCTTAGTTCCCTCCCTTGAAAATGAGCAAGGGTTTGTAAATTTCTTTCTTTCTTTCTTTCTTTCTTTCTTTCTTTCTTTCTTTCTTTCTTTCTTTCTTTCTTTCTTTCTTTCTTTCTTTCTTTCTTTCTTTCTTTCTTTCTCTTTCTCTCTCTCTCTTTCTTTCTCTCTCTCTCTCTTTCTTTCTTTCTCTCTCTTTCTTTCCTTCTTTTTTTTTTTTTTTTTGCTGGTCATGGGGCCTGAACTCAGGGCCTGGGCGCTGTCTCTCAGCTCTTCAGCTCAAGGCTAGCACTCTACCATTTTAGCAACTTCCGGCTTTTTCTGCTTATGTGGTGCTGAGGAATCAAACCCAGGGCCTCATACATGCAAGGCAAGCACTCTACCACTGAGCTACCTTCGGAGCCCTGGGTTTGTCAATTTCTCTGTACAATTCTCCCTCCTCACTTCTGAAAATCAGAAGAAAGCCCGAATTTGCCTCCTAGAGCTGCTCACTATTGAGAATTTCACCTATCACCCTTGAAGCTGGGCTATAAATCCCAGGTTAGAAAATTTGGACCAAATTTAAAAATGTTCTGGATCCTAGTGGAGGAAGTTTCTTTCTTTTTTTTTTTTTTGCCGGTCATGGGGCCTGAACTCTGGGTCTGGGCACTGTCCCTCAGCTCTTCAGCTCAAGGCTAGCGCTCTACCACTGGAGCCACAGCGCCACTTCCGGCTTTTTCTGTTTATGTGGTGCTGAGGAATCGAACCCAGGGCCTCATGCTTGCAAGGCATGCACTCTACCGCTGAGCTACCTTCCCAGCCCCTGGAGGAAGTTTCTAAAAGAGGATGCTAGAAGCAGTTCCTCACAGAATTCCCCAATTTCAGTGGGCACAGGTATCTGAGTGAAGGGAATCAGCCTCTCTGTGAGGGGCAGAGGAAAGCGTCTGCGATCACAGTGCAGCTCAGAGTGCATGCAGGAGCCCTGACTGAGTTTCTAGAAGGGGCTCAGGGTCAATGTAGGGCATATGGTGCACTGGACCCCTCTTTCACAGCAAAAAGTTGGCACGGCTATCTAGAGAACCCCTGGCCCTTATCCCAGACACAAGATTGCCTCAACCATGTATTTCCCCCTGAAACTCCCTAAATGTGACTAAAATTCAGCTGCCCGCCCCCATACCCATTACTTCAGGAAGTAATTTGTTATCTGTAGAGACTTGCAGCCAGATGTGATGTCAGCTGTTGCCAGGCAGACAGGAGCTTGAGAGAGACTCTGAAAGAAGTCATGTGAAGGTAACTATAGAGTATTAGAGCAGCAGCCTGTGAACTCCCATGGCTATCCTATGGGATCCCATCTCCTCCTATCTGTTGTGAGGAATGGATTCGGGTCCAGTTTCTGCTAGTGCCATGGTTGGACCTTGGATAAATCACTGCTTCTCTATAGGTCTCAGTAATAATAACCATGGTCCCAATAATAGTTCTCGTCTATTCTGCTGGTTACCAGTCCTCATCAACTGTTTATCTGGTTACATCCCAGGCAGTAACCAAAAGCTAAACTTCATTCTTTGTGATCTTGAGTTGGGCATATTCATCACCATTTTTATACAAAATTGGGGCTTATATTGTTAATTAACTTTCCTGAGCTCACACAGCTGGTGTACTTGAGACAAAAAATTTTTTTTTCTTTTGTTGGTTGTGGGGCCTGAACTCTGGGCCTGGGCGCTGATCCTCAGCTCTTCAGCTCAAGATTAGTGCTCTACCACTGGAGCCACAGCACCACTTCTGGCTTTTTCTGCTTATGTGGTGCTGAGGAATCAAACCCAGCGCTTCATGCATGCAAGGCAAGCTCTCTACCAGTGAGCCAGCCCATGAGACAGCATTTAAACCAGGACTTAGTTTGACTTCAATTTGAGCTCCCTTTAGAAGGCAGGATTTGTGGGGAGCAGAGATGTACTCTTCTGACCATAGGCCACCCAGTGAGTTGCAGATCCATGTGGACTCAGTGTTCAGAGGGTGGCCCGTCAGTTTCTCTAGTTTTCACTTTGGTTCTAAAAACTGACCTAGCCCTGTGTGCTCAGGCCATCACAGACCAAACCTCATTCAGAGCCTTTCCTGAACACTTCTGCCCGGCAACAGCTACATCATGGTTCTTGCTAGTTCTGATTGGCTCCTGACTTTGGCCAATTACTTTTTTTTTTTTAATTCCACAAGGAGACAAAGCAAAGGAGGAAGTGAAAAGGGGAAGTGACAAGAGCTGCATTCTAGCAGAGCCAGGGGACAGACAACCAGAGGCATAAAGAGGAAGGAAGTCTGATGCTCACCTTAACTATTAGCTCCTCTGAGAATAGTACTTTATTTACCTATAGAGCATTAATAACATGCTCACTATGAGCCAAGAATGTTACTCCATTTTCTTATTTACTTCTCTTTTAGTTAATCCTCTTTCTCTGTGTTAGGCTAAGTGATTTTTTTTCCATGGTCCCAATGCTAAGTAAGTGACAGAGCCAGGATTCCAAGCCAGGTTACATGATCTCATTTTCAATAGGAATCTGTCAGTTTATTTGCTTTTTTCTTTTTCTTTTTTTTTTGCCGGTCATGGGGCTTAAACTCTGGGCCTAAGTGCTGTCCTTTAGCTCTTCAGCTCAAGGCTAGTCCTCTACCACTTGAGCTACAAATGCCACTTCTGTTTTATTCTGGTGGTTAATTGGAGATAAGAGTTTCATGGCCTTTCCTGCCTAGGCTGGCTTTGAACTGTGATCCTCAGATTTCAACCTCCTGAGTAGCTAAGATTAAAGGTGTGAGCCACTGGAGCCCGGTTTTATTTGCTTTTTGAGAGGAGAAGGCCCTGGGCTTCCATAAACTCACATGGTGTGAGGAAAAGCCAGGACTAGAACTAGGTGTAGGTTGTACTCTGGGGTGCCTGAGTGCAGGTGATGAAGCTTGAACTAAACTTGTTACTGGCTTTAGAGCCCAGGCTCATCCTTTGGGAAGGTCAAGAAGTGGAATTTGTTTCCCTCTCTTGCTGATCTCCTCCCTTTCCCCTTACAATAGTGTTTCTCCCTTGTCCTGGACCTTAGAACAGGAAGCAAGGGGGGCTGGCAAGCATAGAGCCAATGAGAATCAGCCATGTCTGTGACATCATGAGTTACTAGGCAGAAGGGTATCTTAAGCGGTTCCTAAAACTATCCTCCCTGGAGTAAGGAAGGGGGCAAGGATGCATCTGGACAATTTCTAGCAGGGTGTGCCTTGGCCAGTTTAAGCGGCTGTAACAGAATACCAAAGGCTGGTAGTTTATAACGAACAAATTGATCCCTCACCATAATGGAGACTGTGAAGCCCAAGATCAAGTGTTTGCATCTGGCTGTGATTTTACAAGGCAGAAAGCAGAAGGGAGAAAAAAAACCCAGTCCCTCTGCCAAAGCTTCTATTCCCATTCATCATCACATTGGCATCAGATGAATTTGAGGGGATCTGTTGAGATGATGACAGGATCCCAGTAGTCCCCTCACTGGGTGAGTGGAGGGAGGACAGGGTCCTGTATAGTAACATGTGTTTGCACCCTGAAACTTTATCCAAGGCCTACAGCTGCAAGGGCTCCCTGAGGTTTGAGGGTCTGACCATCCCTCATTGGGCAGCTGACCAGTCCAAAGAACATGAGTAGTTCAGCTAGGCATAGATGCCTACAGCTCTGCAGATATCACCATGAGATAATTCTGTGCTCATTGTTAGATCTTGTTTCCAAGAAGAAAGCCAAAGCTGAGGCAGATGAAAGCACTAGGGCTCAAAGGCTGTCCAGGACACACAGAAAATCTGGTGTAGGAATGTCCCTGAGGGATAATGCCAAAGTCTTAGAATGTCCAGGCTCCACTTCCCCTTTTCTAATGGTCCACTTTTCCTTCCTTTTTCTCCTTAAATCTGATCTCACTGCCCAGGGATGGGCAGGGGGTGGGGCGCGGGAGGGACACTCCTTATATGGTAAATGGCTTGTACCTTTTTGCTAACAACAACAACAAAACGACAACTCAAGCCAGGCATCAGTGGGTCAGGCCTGTAATCCTAGCAACTCAAAAGGCTGAGATATGAGTATTGTAGTTTGAAGCCAGCCCAGTCAGGAAAGTCTGTAAGACTCTTATCTCCACTAACCTACCCAAAAAGGCAGAAGTGGAGCTGTGGTTCCAGTGATAGAGCTCTAGCCTTGAGCAAAAAGAAGCTCAGGGAGAACACTTAGACCTTGAGTTCAAGCTCCAGGACTGTCCCCCAAAGTAATAATAATGATAATAAAAATAATAAAAAACAACAGCGAGGGTTGCCTTGATCCTCGAAAGGTCCTCATGGCAGAGGTAACAAAGGAGGCACTCCTACTTTGACTGCAAGATGGCACAACTAGGTGCCAAGAGGGCAAGGAACTTGACTCCTTCTCATTCAAACAGTCCAAGGGAAGCTCTGGGATTTCTACTTAAGAGGACTTTAGGAACCTGAGTGGTTGAAAGAATCTGGGAGTGTCTTTAAGCTGCACGTCCACCGGGAGCTCAGTGAATGGGTTTAACGTGTGTCTGCTAGGGTGGCTAACAGACATATTCCCTTACACTCTGTCTGTCACTGGAACAGCTCCTTGCATTATCCTCTGACTTAAACTCCTCTCTCTACAGGAAGTGCAGCCGTGGAGCCCTGTACACAGGCTTCTCAGTCCTGGTGGCTCTGCTCCTGGCTGGCCAGGCCACCACTGCCTACTTCCTGTATCAGCAGCAGGGCCGGCTGAACAAGCTGACAGTCACCTCCCAGAACCTGCAGCTGGAGAACCTGCGCATGAAGCTTCCTAAGCGTGTGTATCCACTTTCCTCACCACCCACTGTCTCTCACCTTAGAGAGCACACCTCTGTACCTAACCAGGCCACTGTCCTCTCCCTTGGGGGCTAAGATCAGTCCCTGACCCCTCCTGGGCACGGGGACCACACTCATGTTGTACTCCCTTCCCTCCAGCCCCCAAGCCGGTGAACCAGATTCGGATGGCTACCCCCATGCTGATGCAGGCACTGCCCATGGAGAGTCTGCTTCACGGGGTAAGGACAGCTGAGGGAAGAGGGAGGGGAGTGCTGTCCAGCCTGGATGGAGGACAGGTGCCAAGGGGAGAAGTCTTCTCCGCTGGGGAGGAGTAGGGCACACCTCAGGGTGAGAGGGCAAAGCTATTCTGGTCATCTAGGAGGGCCCAGTACCTTTCTCTCCCCCAGTCTGGTTCACAAAGTACTTATTTTCCATAGCGTTTTATAGTCCTTACTCTTCCTCCAAGTCTTTGATTTCATTTACTAATACTATTTCTGTTCACAAAACTATTACACTATTACACTTATGCTAGTGTAACCAATGAGGACACAGAGGCAGAAAGGTAGTGACATACACTCCAGCTCCCATGTTTGGAAGTGGCTGGGGTGAACTGAGTTCCTGGACCTGACTCTTATCCAGACCCCAGCTTCAGGCTCCCTCTCCTCTGAGCCAAGGCTAATAATGCTGTCCTCTCCTTCCACAGCCCCCGCAGAATGCTACCAAATATGGCAACACCACCCAGGACCATGTGATGCACCTGCTCCTGGTGAGTGTGGGAGCCAGTAGGTGCCCCTCTACCAAACAGGGGGCCCACGTCACACCAGCCTCACTGAAACTCACCCACAGGAGACCTGTTTAATCCAGCTTCCCCTCGCCACCATTTTTGAGATGTAGAAACAGGCCAAAATCTTGGGGATGACTTGCTTAGACACCCTGATTTCCCTGCCTTTTTTTTTTTTTGGTGCTGGACCTGGGGCTTGAACTCTGGCTCTGGATGCTGTCCCTGAGCTTTTGTGCTCAAGGCTAGTGCTCTACTACTTGAGCCACAGCTCCACTTCTGGCTTTTTCTGAGTGGTTTACTGGAGATTAAGAGTCTCTTGGCCTTTTCTGCCTTCTGGCTTCTGTGATCCTCAGATTTCAGCCTCCTGAGTAGCTAGGATTATAGGCGTGAGCCACTGGCATCTGATGCACTTCCAGATTTTTTAGAGGTTGGTTGGAGATTAGAGTCTCACAGGTTTTCCAGCTTGGGCTGGCTTTGAATTGTTATCCTGAGATCTCAGGCTCCAGAGTAGCTAGGTGTGAGCCATTGGTACCTGGCACCTTCCCAAATTTTTGTTGCATGTCTCTGCTGTGCCAGGCACTATGCAAGGCTGTTGGCCTAACCAGCTCCTGGTTAGTATAGAAGGCAGAAAAGTGACCAGGTGACAGGGAACTATAGTGGCTGTATGAGGAAAGCCCATGTGTGTGTGTGTGTGGGGGGGGGAAGTGGTGGTGGTGGTGGTCTTCTTTGAGGTAGAAACCTGAAGATGCTTGTCTGGAAGTAGAAGGCTAGGGATATTGGTAGAGGTGTTCTGGAAGCTGGACCCCAACTCCCAGCCCGGGGCCTTGCAGCTGCATAGGATATATGGCCCAGGCTTCTTCTTCTTTTTTTTTTTTTTTGGGTCCGGTTGTGGGGCCTGAACTCTGGGCCTGGGTGCTGTCCCTCAGCTCTTCAGCTCAAGGCTAGCACTCTACCACTTGAGTCATAGCACCACTTCTGGCTTTTTTCTTATGTGGTGCTGAGGAATCAAACCCAGGGGCTCGAGCATACAAGGCAAGTGCTCTACCACTGAGCCACCTTCCCAGCCCATGGCCCAGGCTTCTATCCTATATATAAGGCTCAGCCCCTATCATGGCTAAAGTCCAAGGTCCAGGCTTAGTACAGCTCACTCCTTAGAGTGAAGGACAAAGGAACATAACTTACATATTTCTCATTGCCTGCCAGGGAGCTCTTTTTAACCTTCTTTCTGCTCTGCTCCTCTGCAGAGGTCTAACCCCCTGCAGGTATACCCACAGCTGAAAGGGAACTTCCCAGAGAACCTGAAACACCTGAAAAACACCATGGACAACCTGAACTGGAAGGTCAGCAGGCTTCCATGCATTGGAACCCTCTTTTCCCTGATGTCTTGTGAGACTTGGCCCTAAGTGGAAGGAGGGGAGGGCTGTGAGCCGTTCTCATGAGGCTGCAGGGCCAGCTTCTACAAAACTCTGAGCACCAAAGAACACTTGGAGTCACAGAACCACGTGGACAGAGTCCTGAGGGTCTTTTAAGGCGGACCCAGGCTGCAGTGGACTCCAGGTGTTGAGCCACCATGTTTCTGTTCCTGGGGGCCTGGCCCAGTACAGCATATTGAACGGGGTAGGGCTCCATGATGGCTACCAGGCTTAACCACCTGCTTTATCCCCACCAGGTCTTTGAGAACTGGATGCACCAGTGGCTCCTGTTTGAAATGAGCAAGAACTCCCTGGAAGAGAAGCCTACTGAGGCTCCGACCAAAGGTAGGGTGGGCCTACAGGGTGCTAGGATTTCCAGCTGTCCCAGGTGACTGCATCATGCCACCTCCCATCCTCACAACTTCCTGTCTCTGGGCTCAGCTGCCCTGGCCCCATCTTATTTGTGGGTTTGCTTTTGCCCACCACATATGCCATGGGGTATAGACACAGCTCAAACCTAGCCTACACCTCACTCTAGGAGGGTGATCACATGATGTTCTGGAGCAAATGCAACCTAAAGCCTACCAGGCAGGAATTCCTGTCCTCACCACTTGGAAAGGGCCCTGGGTGTCTCCCACCTCAGCAACATCACATACCAAGATGCTTTAGCCCTAAAGCTGCATTCCCAACACCCCACTTCTCTAATTCACTGTGCAGTTCTAAGACTGGACTGGCCAATGGCTCATCTGGCCCTAGCCCAGTGAGTGATCCCTTTCAACATACAGAAGAGGTGACCCTTGCTACTTCACCTCTTTGCATTAACAAAGGGCACTTCTGACTTCTACTTGGGTGCTCCCAATAGTAGCATGCTGAGAATTCTCAAGGTGTAGGCTGCTTTCTTCCAGAACCACGGGGGATAAGAAATGGTCAAGATTAGTCCAGCGCCAGTGATTCACACCTGTTATCCTAGCTACTCAAGGGGCTGAGATCTGAGGATCATAGTTCAAAACCAGTCCAGGCAGGAAAGTCCTTGAGATTCATTATCTCCAGTGAACCACCTAAAAGATGAAAATGGAGCTGTGACTGAAGTGGTAGAGTGCTAACCTTGAGCAAAAAAAAAAAGCTCAGAAACACCTAGGCCCTGTGTTCAAATCCCAGGACCACCCCCCCCCCAAAAAAAAAAAAGCAAGAAAAAAAAAGAAAAAGGGAAGGAAGGACAGACACAGTCAAGTTCTAGAGTGAATTAGCCACACAGTCTTCCACTCCCTCTTTAGTCTAGGACCCTATGTAGGCCTCCGTTTTCCATCTGTGCAGTTGGTAAAGAGAAGCTACTAGTGCAAATCCTAGGCCCACAGCAGCAGTGTGTGGGTCTTGCAGAGCCGGAGCTTACTCACTCACTGTCTCCATCATGCCTGTCGCTTCAGTACTGACCAAGTGCCAGGAAGAGGTCAGCCACATCCCTGCCGTCCACCCCGGCACATTCCGTCCCAAATGTGATGAGAATGGCAACTATATGCCACTCCAGTGCCATGGGAGCACTGGCTACTGCTGGTGCGTCTTCCCCAATGGCACCGAGATCCCCCACACCAGGAGCCGTGGGCACCATAACTGCAGTGGTAAGCAGGGGCCAAGATGCCAGCAGCTGAAGGACGAGGAAGGACTAGGAAAGCTGAGGGGCAAGAGGTCCCCCCTGTGCCCATGGGTCAGGGTACTGGGGATGTCAGCTTCCGGGTGGTTGGCTCTGTCACGTGTCCTGCCCTTTCCACCTATCCAGCCATCCTTCTGTCTCTGCCATGTCTCCTCTCACACCCACACATCTCTCCATGCACCGGGAGTCCCACAGACCTCCCTACTCCTGTACCACCCTACTTGGCCCCCAGTTACACTCCTGTACTGCAGGCCTGCATCTTTAGGAAGGATGTTATTGGACACCTGCAAGTAACAACTTGACTTGCTTCTTTGTAGAGCCACTGGACATGGAGGACCAGTCTTCTGGGCTGGGTGTGACAAAGCAGGATTTGGGCCAAGGTAAGGCCTGGTGGAGTAGGGGTCACCTGCAGCCATCCCTAGTTGCACAGCATGACCACTGGCCATTCTCCCACATCTCATCGTAAAGTGATGGCGTGGGGGGGGGGGGGGAGGGAGACATGCTAGGGGAGGTTACTTGAGCCTCTGATGGGCACTACTTGAGCTCAACAGGGGTATGTAAGGTATGTCAAGTCTTCTTGCTCTGTGGTTCTGTGATGCTAGGAACGGGTAAGGACAACAAATGAGCGTCCCCTAACCTCAACCTGCCTCTTCTTTTTCCAGTCATCATGTGAAGATAGCAGAAATCTCCAGCACCCAGCCAGCTTTGTGTGACCACGGGTTTCCTGCTCCCCTCTGCCTCAGCCCCTCCCCTGTGCCTCCAGTGTCCCCCAAGTTCCCATCCCTGCAGCCCCTCCTGGGCTGTCAGCCTGTCCACTCCCATCTGTTGGCATGGATGCAAAGCCAGAGGTGGACTCCTGATCACATCACTGCAGTCCCTAACATCAATTATCTAGGTTCATGGGCAGGGAGGAGGGACACTACCCCAAACCCTAGGCTGCACGTTTGCTGACCTTTCCCCTCAGGCCTTTTCCACCTCACTCCCCAAGGAGGGGCAGTTTCTCTGCTCAACACCTGCAACCCCAGCCAATGCCAGGTCCCCTGCTCAGCTAGCTTGTAAGCAGCCATCAGGGCTGGGCCATAGTGCACATTGAGAATAAAATGTAGTAAGTAGAATGTTCTGGTTCCTAGCTCTTCTGTGGGGATGAAGTCAGCTCACTATAAGGCTGAAGAACCTAAATCCACCCATCAGGAAGAAGACAATGCAGCCCCAGGGGTCCAGACTGGGGCCTGTGGACACAGACATTTTGGGTGGCACGTTCAATATGCAAATACTCTTACTTACTTCTGAGAAGAGACTTGCCTGCAGTTCTAAAGCACAAGTTCCTTGTGTTCCAGCTCCCGTCCCCCCCCCCCCTTCCCCCCACCATGTCCTCAATTCCATTTCTATACTAAGAGCAGCATGGGTGTGATGACAGATGACAACGGACTGAGGCCTCCATGTCAGGAATAGGGGCTGCAGCCAACCAGGTGCCTTGTGGGACCCATGGGCCAACCACTCTTCAGCTCCTGCCGTTTGTCCCAAGGTGGTGCAGGTTCTGGCTGTCAGGTGGTTGAGGTTCTGCAGAAGCTGACATTAGTGAAATCACACCACTTCTAAGTTTAAAGACTTCTGTGGGTCAAAATTGCTCAACGAGGACACTTCTCTGCAGCCGCTGATCTAAAGCAACACACTTGTAGAGATGAGGTGGGGTACCCAAGGCCTCAAATGCAGGGGTGCCCAGCTGGATGCCAATCTGGGTCTCCAAGACTGCCACTCATGCTTTTTCTGTCTGGGTTCTGGCTATTACCAGAGCCTTCTAAATGTCTGGTGTTCCTCACTGATCAGGGAAGAGGTAGGCCTCTGCATACCCAGGGTGGGGCAGCAGGCAACATCTCTACCACCCTCCCTTCCCTCAGTCCACAGGGGAGCTATAAAGAGTCCCAATAGTCCATACCCAACATATTCTGCAGGTTTGCCTCTTCCTGCCCTTCCAGCACACACTGCCTGGAGGCAAGGCTAATACATGTCTAGTTCCTTTTCTTGTGTCTCCTGTGACTGTCACAGCAATATTCCACCAACTACCTCCAAAGCTCCTGGCCCTCAAGCCCAACCCCCCAAACTGCTTTGCAAGCCCCTTTCCTGTCTACCCTAGCATTTGGAGACCAACATCGTTCATCCTTCATACTTACAATGACACTTCCTCCAGGAAGGCTCCCCTACCAATTCAGCCCAGGGAGCTTCCCACTTCACTGAAGCTCTGCGACAATCCATCTCAGACTGAGCCTCAACATGCAGCCTAAAAGGACTCCTTGTTGCCTTGGAGTCAGAATGACTTTTTTTTTTTTGGGGGGGGGGGTGTCAGTCATTGGACTTGAACTCTGGGCCTGGGCGCTGTCCCTAAGCTCTTCAGCTCAAGGCTAGTGCTCTACCACTTGAGCCACAGCGCCACTTCTGGTTTTCTGGTCATTTATTGGAAATGTCTGTTTCCTGCCTAGGCTGGCTGGCTTTGAATCGTGATCCTCAGATTCAGCCTCCTGAGTAGCTAGGATTAGAGGCATGAGTCACCTGTGCCTGGCAAGAATGATCTTTTTTTGTAGTGCCGGTACAGGAGCTTGAGCTTTTTTTATTTTGGTCAGTCATGGGGCCTGAACTTGGCCTGGGTGCTGTCGCTCAGCTCTTCAGCTCAAGGCTAGTGCTCTACCACTTGAGTTACAGTGCCACTTCTTGGCTTTTTTTTGCATATGTGGTGCTGAGAAATCGAACCCAGAGCCTCATGCACGCGAGGCAAGCACTCTACCACTGAACCACCTTTCCCAGCCCGAGCTGTTTTGTTCTCTTATAGCTGGCGCTCTACCATTTGAGCTATACCACTTCTGGCTTTTTACTGATTAACTGAAGGTTAAGTCTTTCAAATTTGTTTGCCTGGTTTGGCTTCAAGCTGCAATCCTCAGATCTCAGCCTTCTGGATAGCTAGGATTAAAAGTGCATGGCTCTGAATGACTCTCAAGATGTCTCTAAGGGTCACCAGACTGCCTTTCTTTAAGTAGCCAACTTCACAGCATTTCCTCCAGTGCATTGGAAATATCTACCTTTCTTTTAAGTCTTTTACTTTATTAAAACAAAAGAAAACAAAACAGAACCCTATTAACCAGAAAAACTGACAGCAAGAGGACAAAGCCTCAGTTGGGATCATCCAGAGACTCAGCAGCATGGGATGGGTTAAGCTGAGCCTCACTGGGTCTGCAGAAAGGAGAGAGAGAGAGAGAGAGAGAGAGTGTGTGTGTGTGTAGATCTCAAGGACTTCAGCATGTTGGACTTGTAGAGGGAAAGGCAGGTGACTTAAAAAAAATATATATATTATACACATCTATACGAAGCGCCTTGTGTTGTGGGAGGGGCCACTTCCTCCTTGGACCAGCCTCCGGCAGGCTCACTGGCTTGGCCAGCACGGGACCCTAGGGCTGGCTGTCGTCTTGTGGAGGGAGAGGAAGATAAAAATCCAGTCCCAATCCACGATGGGGAGAGGGCAGAGGCCTGGAGATGGTCACTTCTCTGCTAAGATATCCCTAGGGGAAGGAAATAGTCAGATGTCAGATTGCCCAACTCTTTTCTCCACCAAGGATGAAGTCAGGCCTCCCACTGCAGTTCAGGGGCACCAACTAACCACTCCACGTGACCATGTGGGCCCCGTGGTTGCTGCAGCTCCAGCCTTTGGCATCAACCTTGGCCCCACCTTCTCTTATGGTCCCCAGGGTGTTGGGACGATCAGGAAGCATACCTGCGCCCTGTGCCTGGCATATGCCTTCACACCGCCTGCTCTGCTGTCTTCTTCTGTAAAGGAAAGTGCAAAAGGCTCTTGTCCCTGTGGGTCCCCCACCCTCTACTCACCACCATGCACCCACTGAAGCCTGGCAACTCCCCCACAACTCCATGGTCTTCTGCTCCCTCTCCTTACTTCAACCTCCCACATCCTTTTACCCTCCTATGGTCTTTAGAGGCTAGGAGGGGAGACACCTGCCTAGGCGCTTCCTTGTTAGGTCTCCTTCTTCTTCTTTTTTGCCAGTCCTGGGGCTTGTACTCAGGGCCTGGGCACTGTGCCTGAGCTTCTTGTGCTCAAGGCTAGCACTCTACCCCTTGAGCCACAGTGCCACTTCCACCCTTTTCTTTTTATGTGGTACTAAAGGATGGTACCCAGGGCTTCATGCATGCTAGGCAAGTGCTCTACCACTAGCCACATTCCCAGCCTCTTGTTAGGTCTTCTATAGCTCCAGAATGGAAAAAAGGCAATGACCAGGCCAGAGTGTGGAAGGGGGTTAACATCCACCCCAGGAGGCCCTTCCTGGGTTCACACCCCTCACAAGTTCCCAACCTTTTTCTTCTTTTTCTTCTGGAATGGTGAGTCAGGATCTTTGGTTATAGTTTTTGCTTTCTTCTTCTTTTCTTTTTTCTCTTTGTCTTTTTTTTCTGAGGGAATAAAATAAACTTTCTAAGCCAAGATTACTCCTCGTTATTGGATTAGTCAACTTCTCAGCCCATGGGGCTCCGTTGGTCCCCAGCTCTCCTCACACACCTGGAAAGCCATCAAAACAGGCTGTAGCTGGGCTAGGACACCTACTATTTTTCAGGGTCCAGCTTCATGATTCCTTTCCAACCAAGTATTTTACTTTTCTTTTCTTTTTCTTGTTGGTCGTGGGGCCTGAACTCTGGGCCTGGGCGCTGAAGAGCCTCAGCTCTTCAGCTTAAGGCTAGCGCTCTACTACTTGAGCCACCACACCACTTCCGGGTTTTTCTGCTTATGTGGTGCTGCAGAATAGAATCCAGGGCCTCATGCATACTGAGCCACCTTCCCAGCCTCTTTTTTTTTTTTTTGATCATGGGGCTTGGGTGCTGTCCCTGAGCTCTTTTGCTCAAGGACAGTGCTCACTGCCACCTCCAGTTTTCTGTTGTTTAATGAGATAAGAGTCTCATAGGTGCCAGGCACCGGTGGCTCACGCCTGTAATCCTAGCTACTCAGGTTGAGATCAGAGGATCGTGGTTCAAAGCCAGCCTGGGCAGGAAAAGTCCATGAGACTCTTATTTCCAATTAACCACCGGAAGTGGCACTGTGGCTCAAGTGGTAGAGTGCTAGCCTTGGGCTGAAGAGCTGAGGGGCAGCACTCAGGCCCAGAGTTCAAGTCCCATGGCTGACAACAAAAAAGTCTCAAGGATTTAACTGCCTGGGCTGGCTTTGAACCATGATTCTCAGATCTCAGCCTTCTGACTAGTAGGATTACAGGTGTGAGCCACCAGCACCTGGTTCTATTTTTCTTTAGTCTTCCTACCCAACTCCAAGTGGTGGGGCCTCAAGCATAAGAGACATGTGCTCTACCACTGAGCCATAACTTTAGCCTTTTTTTTTTTTGGGTCATACTATGTAGTTCTAAGCTGTCCTGGAATTGCTTATTCTTCTGGGTCTGTATCCCAAGGGTTGGGATTACAGGTGTTCCGCCATGTCCAGGAAATCAGCTGTTTTTGTTTTTTGTTTTTGCCAGTTGTGGGGCTTGAACTCTGGGCTTGGGCGCTGTCCCTCAGCTCTTCAGCTCAAGGCTAGCACTCTACCGCTTGAGCCACAGTGCCACTTCTGGTTTTCTGAGTGATTTATTGGAGATAAGAGTCTCACCGAGTCTCTTCCCTGGGCTGGTTTGAACAGCGATCCTCAGATCTGAGCCTCCTGAGTTGCTAGGATTAGAGGCATGAAACCACCGGAGCCCGGCTAACTCAGCTGAATTTTAAATGAAAACTCTCTTGCCAGGAGCTGGTGGTTCATCAGGAGACTAGCTACTCAGGAGGCTGAGATCCGAGGATCACTGTTCAAAGCTGGCCTGGGCAGGAAGAGACTCATTGCCAATTAACTACCAAAAATGCCAGAAGTGGAGCTGAGGCTCAAGTGGCAGAGTGCTAGCCTTGAGCAAAAGCAGCTCAGGGACAGCTCCCACACCCAAGTTCAAGTCCCAGGACAGGCATACACGCAACACACGCACATACATGTGTGTACACACACACACACACACACACACACACACACACACACACACACACACAAACTTCAACACATTTAAAGATGACAGTGGGAATCCAGTCAAGTTCTGCACGC